CCCCCCCTACCTCCCCTAGAGAGAAAACCCTCATGGAATCTGTCTGCGGAAATCACTTGGTAAGCAAAATGATCTGCTCAGTGGCTGCAAATTGTAGCTCTCATCAGCTTCCTATATTCTGAGCGCTTTGAAGCCATTTTGCAGGTTCGCTTAATGGATAATTTCTGATCCATTCATTTAGGTTAATAACAACTTTATTATGGCTTCTATGGTGTTGTATAATCCAAAATGAAATGCACCATATTGAATGATTTAATTTGAAATACATCTTGCAGCGGGTAGCAACGACACAATGCTTTTGACAGAATGTTTTTTGGTGCGTAATCGCTGCAAGTATTGATTTTTCCAGAGTTGAAAAATTCATTTTTCCGCCTCCACTTTGACAAACGGTTGACTTGCATCGATCATATGGACCAACAAGGGGGTTAACTAAGAGCTGCTCAGCTTTTCTTCTCCGCTCTGAGGAGAGAGACGCATTCCAGATAACGACGTTGTTCTACCCTAAAAATCTCGAGCAGCACATTAACATCAACAAAAATGACTCTAAATAAGTAAATTCATTCCATTTCAAGCAAGGGGTGCAGCGAAGAAACACTGAGCGCGAGGGCGAGAGAGTATACGTTGAAGGCGAATCCGCTATTCTTTGTGCAACACTTCTAGTGGGCGTTCACCACCACAAGGGGGTGTGGACAGTCATAAATCACAAGCCTTTGGCATCCTTGATACGTGTTTTCGTAAAAATGCTGTGGTGAATGACCCACAAAAAACCCCAATGAAGGCTTTCTGTGTTGTCGGCAATGTAGCGGGTAAGTATGCTGACTCGATCGGCACAATTACGGCTTCCAATTTTTCAAATGTCCAACATTTTGCCTTGACCTACATTTTTGCAATATTTTTTCCAACATTTTTTCGGTGACTGTGCAACTTTTCCTGCTTGGATATGTGGAGACTTATGGCGTGAATTTTCAGATTATGCACTTGCGAGATGACGACGATACTAGCCAATGTAACTCGAGAAATTCTAACGGATCACGACACACTCACAGCAATCATGCCCGAAATGATACATCGAAACGATTTACACCAGGTTTGTTGATTTTTTTTGTGACTACATTTTGAAACTGAGCACTACCGAAAATGAAATGGAACCAGGGTTTTTCGATACTTCAGGGATAAACCGGCAAGGGCGGGGGGGGGTATTTGTCGCAGGAGGGGGTATCTGTTCCTGTGAGGAATGTTTTAGGGTTTTGACTTTTCTCAGGTTCCCCTGTTTCAGCCGCAATGTATGTAAGAATTTTTGGAAAGGAAAAAACCACGAGAAAGTGTCAGGATGGTAGGAAGCTGGTAGAACTCAAGGATATGTAGGTCGGATGAGTAGTGCGGGGGAGGGGGGATCGTACCGGAAGAGAAAGCTTTGAAAAAGGTCGTATCTTGCAAAATATCCCCTAACGGCTGGACGCAGCCCTGATGAAATTTATGTACTAACCGCTCAAAGTTGTTGCCACAGCATCTAAAAAGGCACTTTCCGCAATATAAGGCCTATGACCTCTCCGAATGTGTCAAGACGCAATCCACGGAAGGAAGATTGCGAGGGCCTGCGCTGAAACTCTCTAGAAAGCGAATAATCGCAAGAATTTCGGCTTGAGCTAACCGAATTAGGCCCATGGCGCCCTTAGGCCCATGCCGACCCCACCGCTGCTAGCTACTAGCTAGTAGCCACTATGCTATCTCTCTCCATTCCGAATGGTGAGAGTGAGGTGATACGATAAAAGAGCTGATATCTTTATGATAACGACGAGTGGAAATTCGTACAAACATGCGTTTTCTTCATTGCATGCATGTACAAGTTGAGATGATCTAGTTAGGGCATTTTCGGTCCTGCTTTTCATGCATGCTTTCTCGCGTTAATCAAGATACCTAGCCCTTTTTTTCGTTTCTATGTGGGTTCTCTTTGGCCCTAAAGTTGAAAAACCACAATCTGGCGGCGCGGCTATTGCCATTAATTTCAATTTTTTTTCATTGAGATTTTATATGTTCCGGGTTTCCATTCATTATTAGCATGTCATTTAGGCGATCCTTGTGTAGTTTGCGGAGATGCCGCATCTGGAATCCATTATGCCGTGGCAGCATGTAATGGTTGCAAGACATTCTTCAGAAGAGTCGTTCTAGAGGTAGGTAGGCTCTCTATGAGCTGATCTCTTGTTGTTGAAGCTACATTTTTTTTCTGTTATATTTCCAAGTTTTTTGTTGTTATGGCGTAAGGTTTGCTTTTCGATAAGTCAATCGTATACTGGCTGAAAGCTGGCACTACTTTACTCTTTGGTGCGACCGATCTTTTCAAAATTAGTTTCAGTTTATTTTCTCTCCGAGGGCCATCTGGCTTGGAATCTGCTCCTAGGAATAGCTTCACCGTCTGGGCATAACATCGCATCCACTTGGCACGTAGCCGTCTAGTTCCCGCACAAGAGGTGCCGACTCCAAAATGTCACTTGGCTGAGAACTTGTCCCAGGGTACTTTGGACTTTCTGATTAACTGGAATAGTCACGCTTGCCCAGCTTGACGGCCATCTGGTGGCACCTATATAAGTGGCTACGAGAACCGACCACTGCGTGTGTTGCCGCGGTGTGCGTCTGGCAGGGACTACAGAGCGTTTCGTGCCTAGCGGGCTGTTAGGACATTTAGGGAATTGACAAGACGAAACAGTATCCTTTCTGATCGTCCGCGATGGTGATCGATCCCTTGGCTAAGGTTTTTCTTCCGTGGAGAATTTTTGCCAAAATCATCCTCGGGGTAGTTTGACTCTTGAACACGAACATCAATCCATCTGGAAGGCGAAAATATTTAGCGTCCACGTGTCATGTAGCTCCAAGCATGTTTCAATGTCTTTTGCCTGGTAGCGAGCCTAGCCACAAAGGAGCTTTCTTTCGGTCCCAGCGGGACGTTCATGCCCAGGGATCAATCAAAACATCTGTGGGGACAGGTTTTGAACGGGTTCGGTGATTTGAGGTGTTGTTTGGCACCGGGAGTGGCGCGGAGTTGGCAAAGTGATTCAAACGAGGCGAAACGTGGTATTCGTATTCAAGAGGCCCCGAAAAGTACTCGGCGGGCAAAATCCTTATATTGCAAGCAATTTCTAATCAAAAATGTGGACGGAATTTTCATGAGTGGGTTAGAAAGGGTAAGTAGTGCCTAAAATCTTCTGAACAGATACATCTGTTTTGCTGAAATTTTTGCACGTGCAGAAGACAAAATCGTCGCACTTCAGCCTGGTGGGGGTGCTAAGTGGTTCTCAGCGAGGCTTGTACAAGCCAATTTTGTGAAGACCGCCTAAATCACCGTGAGTCAAAGCGGCTCACTTCTACCAATTCGCAGCTTCCCAAGAGTTCACAGGTGTTATTCGTTAACATGTGCTAGCAAGAGGAACTAGCGAAAGTACACAAATGCCCCTCCAAGCCGAATAGCGCAGAAAATCTACTGAAAACATTCTTCTGTTCTACTTGTATTGACTCGATCAGTTTCAGAATCGAACGTATTCGTGCAAAAACAACGGCGATTGTATCATCGACAAAAATATGCGATGTTCATGCAGACATTGTCGATTCAAAAAGTGTATACGGGTTGGCATGGACCGAAGTGGTAGGTGTGTTTACGTTTCATCTGATTGAAAGCGTAGTAAACAAGGTCCCATCGTAACTGTGATCTTAAATGTCTGACGAATGAGACAATGTCACCACCAATTTTGTTGTACTGCCTTTTATTTTTTTGTCGTTAACAACAGATAAAACATAGGGTCATATCTTCAAATCATCTAAATTCTTCCACTGTAGAAAGGGTGCAGCATCGTTGGGATCGAAACGTTTCCCCTCAAGCGGGGGGATAGAGTCGTAGTTGGTTGCTTGCGAGGGGTAGGTCGTATCTGCCTTGATAAATTTGCTGGGCGTCTCCCATTTATATCCGTCATTCCAAATCTTCCCCCTCACAAACCTTTCCTCCACTTTCGACGCCAGTTTTCCGAGACGAACTTGAATTTTTTCGGAAAACTGGGAAAAGGTGATAGAGAGTTGTGGAAGTTTGGGAAGATGGTGGGTAGGATGGGGAAGGGGGTCGTACCAGAAGAGAAAACTGTGGAGTGAGATCGCAGGATTCGGCCATTTCACACATCGCAATGCTGTACCCTCTGCGTAGAACGATGCCAAGGAACAGTCCACTGTAACTCTGGGCGCGGGAAGGGGGCCTACCGTCGTATATCATTCGTTGACGGAGACGTCTTATCTACCGTCCTAGAAAAGGCATACACCACTGAGAAAAGCTCAATGGCAGGCCTTGCTCCGCCCATACTACGATCGCGAAATGTGTTTTCTGAGGGGAATTGGGACGCATTTGGTTGATGTTACATCTTATCAGAGTAACTTCGGTACGATTCCGCTACTGTGGTTTGAAAGGCTCAGAAAACTTTTTTCGTTGAAACCTCGCTTCAGAGGTTATTCGGTCCCTGATCACGAATATCACATCGATTTTTGTTGCTGGCGATTTGTCGCCAGTAGATGCCAATTTGGCGTCTTTTTATTTCAGTATTATTTTACAACACACTTACATTTTATTTTTATTTTCGACACCAGCGCCATCTAATTAGCCTGAGCCTGGCAGGAGAATTTATTCGGAAGCTGTTGAAGGGTTTATACAAGTAGAGTCGAGTTTAGTGTTATTATATCATATATTAGTATACATATTCAGAAATGTGTTTACAGTCTGGCGCTGCGGATGCTGGTGCTTTTCGCGCGTGCGATTGGCACGCAGCCATCCATTCCCCACCAGTTTTTAACTGACAACAACTGATAAAGAAAAGTCTGTTACGAACGATGGGATACAGTCCTGCCGCTCATTGAAAGAGAAAGCAAAGAAAGAAAGAAAACAGGTTGGCGCGGCACCAAACGCAGCCTCGCGGACACGCCCCGTCATCCGTAGCGAACCAGACTATTTTCTTTCCGATGTTCGCCGCGTGCGACGCGTATCATCCTGCGCACGTGACAGCAGTGGTCATCGTGTTATCGAACAGCATCCACTGACCATTTCCTGTGCACGTGACAGCAAGCATATTTCCTGAACCGAAAGACATTAGACTGCTATGAAAATAATTAATCGATTAGATACTTACTTTGATCTGGAGGGAACGTCATACCCTCCTGTCCGGGTCTAAATAAGTAAGGGAGGGTATCGATTGGACAGGTCCAAGTAAATCTGCAAAATGTTGTAAATTCACCGAGCTCATTATATTCATAGATTTATGAAGTTTGATAGATTCATTCGCAAGTCAGAAAATAGATCTTTAAGCTGATACTGAAATGTCTGCGGTGCCATGCGGAGTTCTTTCTCACACTATCTTCTTATAGGTTGATCAAAAAGTTTTGATAGGGTTTTTTGAAAGTTCCAGAACTTTCGATTCTTGATCGATACCAATGATCTACCATGTGGTAGTGGTAGAACATTCTAGAACCTTTCTCCGTAATGGGTATATATGGATATGCTTCCTCCTTCAGCTTCCTGCGATAAAAATGTCATGGATAGCTGCTTTTCAATTATGAAACAGTAGCTGATAAGTAATCCCCCAAAGAAGAAAAAAAGCAAGAAGAGTCCTCCAGAACACCATAAACAAAATCGCTCCCTCACAGTCACACCTCCCTGCGGTCTCTGTGCAACCCCTAGCTCACAAATCTCTATCACATCTCGCAGTAGTTGATATCATCCAGTGCAAAAAAAGAATACAAAAAACAACAAAAACGCAGAGGAAAAACTCTTGGAAGGAAAAAGAAATTTTAAAAACTCGGTGTCTGAATTTGGGATTACGGTAGCGCACATTTTGTGCGTCGAGGTTTTGCATCACGAAAATTGCGTCACTCGTGATTTTTACGCGTTTCACCTCGCGAAATGGGTTGAGTTGAATGTATATGCCCCAATGAGTAAACTGTAATAAAGGAGAGCAGAATTATCCATGGGCACGAGTGCGGTCAGCAAAAAGGAGATGCAATTCCGATTAATGCCCGCCGCCCCAACTAAGAACAACTGAGTGGCCTCGTCGGAGGGCATCTAGCAAGTAAGGCGGTCCAACTGAGCAGGCGTTAGAACTAGAACTTACAGCGGCTGTAGCTCGCTCCTCGCTCGCTGTGGAGACGAATAGAGTGGGACAGTCTCTAGCTTGGGGGCTGTACTACTTGCACAAGGAAGACGACCATGTACTACTCGAGCGCGGGGGCTGTCTTTAAATCACGATGTCAATCCCACGAAACCATGTTCGATACATCATCTTCTACGAGTGGCGCCGCGGCACCGGAGCGACGGCAACCGTTCG